TCCCCATTATGATATGAAAGAAATTGACGTTGGGCTGGGAGGGAATCAGACCCCAGTATCTAAGAACGACCCTCAAAAGTGGGTGAAGAGGAAAGCGGACTCCGCCCTCAACAATTGATAAGAGAGGAAGGACGATTGTGCTCTTATTTTCCCTCTGCATATCAGTGATGCTGTTTGCCAAAAGTGACAGATGGACGTCATCAGGGATGAAGAAATGGCGTCGAAAGCCGGAGATTCGATCCGCCGAAAGGATCTCTTTCAGATGTTTTGCCATTCTTTTTAAGCCAAACCCAAGGATTACGGAAAGTTAAAAGCCAATAAGGAAGCGGGATCATAAATGAAGGAGAAGAAGACTTATAGGAGATAAAGCGAGAAACGACTTGTAGAAGCTGCGAAGAGATAAAGTTGCACTGGAGGGCGAGCAAGATATCTTTTGAACTTTCAGGACATACACTCGAAGAGGCAATTTCAAATCATATTAAATGGAAGCAGTGTACGAAGGGGCGGGAAAGCGTTACGATGACTAAGAAGCTTGTGCGCATTTTGACACGCATTGGGAAGAGGGTTAATCGTCGAATTTTTGACTTCTCAGGCTAAAAGCCAAACACGCCGACTAACTGATGATAGCAGGGTGTTTGGGAGACAATTGTGGGAGCCAGATTTTATTAGATCCATAGGAACAGATGAGCATGTCCGGTCCGAAACGTAACCTGTATTCGGTATATACCCCAGCCAGTTAAGGAGCCGAATAAAATAACCAGTATCCCAGCCAATAAAACTGACGCCGAGTAGAGGTACATGTGACGGAACAAGGATGGGTCCAGCCCAAAGACCCAAAGAAAATACTATAAATATGGGATCATCCATCAGAGAGAGGCATGTGATAATTGTTGTGCTTAATTTAGAATATAAGTAATCTTGAGTGTTGAGACTGACTTGCCCGTCGGAGTGCTAATTCCGGCACTCCCGACCGAAGTGTTTATTTCTTTTCAGGTGACTATCAGCGGATCATGAGCGTCCCCTAAGATCAGAAGAGTATTTCCAAACCACTTCTCCACACACCTGTATGTATCCATTGTTAGTGCAACCTGTACCCTGTATAAACAATATAATCCATCAATACTGAATATGTTATCAACCATTCAACAACGTGCACACATTTCACTTCCAACCATCCAAAAAATTTATATTCAACGTATAATTCTAAATGTAATACAAATTCCATACAAACCAAGTATAATCCAACCCCAGTAATTTAATTCCATACATAATAGAGGATTAACCAAATTTAATATCCAAAAGGAAATCTATACCACACAAAAAATTTATTCTGTACCGCCTAAAAAACTAATTTGTACCACGTCCAATGCTAATTTCTATCAGGCCAAATTTTAGATATTTACCACGCAAAAAAAACTAATTTATATGAACCACTATATATATAGACGGAGATATAAAAACAATGCCCTTCCGTACTTGTCAAAAAAAGTCATATCCACATTTGTACATCAAAAACCATCTGTAAAAAAAAAATAAAAAATAAAAAAATTAATCATTAGTATTGACTAAATATTGGCCAATTTAAAATTATAAAAAAATATATAAAACTCCAAGTAACATATAAAAAAAATCATTAGTATTGACTAAATATTGGCCAATCTAAATATGCACCAATTGATGCTATGCCCACCCTCAGTCCTTGTTATTCCAATGTAACATAAAGGGCTTGTGCAAATTCACATTACAAGAATCTTTAACACAACCACCTTGACATTCAAATGTCCACCCATGAAAGAGAACATAACAATAATATAAGAAAGCCAGTCAGTTGAAACCAGTCAGTTGAAGTTTTACCAAAAATCATCATAGTGTCTCTTGATGCAGGACACTATGATTCCCAATAATTTCTAAGTTTCTAACCACTTACTTCCAACCTTGAAAATCTCCTGGCACAAAGTTTCTAAGCACAAAATGTAGATGGATTCCCAATACTGTGATTTTTTTTTTTTTTTGGAAATGGTGCTGAAATTTTTTACACCAATAAACTTATTCTGCAGTCTTCCCTGCACCTTTAATAAACAATAACACACAAGCATACCAATTCTACAATGTCAAAAATCAAGTACCGCAAATGTAAATATATAGCAGCATTTTTTTCCCCCCAAAAATGTTATGATGTCCACATTTGTGCACCAATTGTTATTTACCATCTCATGCATCATAATTGTATTGGTTTAATAAGTCTCATCACTAATGTCGATCACCAATTCAGAATCTTTAACACAACCACCTTGATATTCAAATGTCCACCCATGAAAGAGAACATAACAATAATATAAGAAAGCCAGTCAGTTGAAGTGTTACCAGAAATCATCATAGTGTCTCTCGATGCAGGACACTATGATTCCCAATAATTTCTAAGTTTCTAACCACTTACTTCCAACCTTGCAAATCTCCTGGCACAAAGTTTCTAAGCACAAAATGTAGATGGATTCCCAATACTGTGATTTTTTTTTATTTTTTTTGGAAATGGTGCTGAAATTTTTTACACCAATAAACTTATTCTGCAGTCTTTCCTGCACCTTTAATAAACAATAACACACAAGCATACCTATTCTACTACTATGTCAAAAATCAAGTACCGCAAATGTAAATTTATAGCATCATTTTTTTCCCCCAAAAAATGTTATGATGTCCACATTTGTGCACCAATTGTTATTTACCATCTCATGCATCATAATTGTATTGGTTTAATAGGTCTCATCACTAATGTCGATCACCAATTCAGGGGCGACACATCAATTGAGAAACAAAATATGATAAGAAAATGTGATCAGTATAGCATCATTATTTTCTTTTTTAATTAAGTACTCATGCCACAGTATCAACTTTGTTCAACTGCTGTGTCACTGCAAGTGTTTGACATTGCAGATTCAGGCTCATAGCCAAAGGTAATTGCCTTAAGCAATCCATATACACAACTCCCAAATCCCAAGAGATGGACAATGAGTTATTAAAAATTACTGAGACAAACAAAACGGAGGTACATAATGGCTGGAAATTTATATTAAATCATTTGTTGCAAATATTCTCATAATAAAGGATATGACTGGAGCTCAAACAATGTCTGCATTTGATATCAGGCTACAATGAAGGCAAGGCATTCTAGGAAAGGCAACTAATTAGGCATCCTGAATTCTATTCAATGTCTTCCACGACTGAAATAGATATGATTACATCACCAGGAACAAAAGTATAATAAATTCCATTCTAATAGAAATAGAGAGAGAAAACCAAATGTATGCATACATAAATATTTATATGAAGTAAAATATTTGAACAAACAAATAGTCCTACCTGTAAAATCCATCGAGTGGGTTGCTGCCAACACTGCCTGCCACAGCTACATTCAAGGGAGGGCCGCAAACGTGGCGAGCACCAAGTCTAGCCAAGGCCACAAGGCTGTTAGAAAGGGATCCACCGGCAGCAGCCTTGTAGCTGTAACCATCCATTGCCCGCAATACTCTATCCCTCTCCTCGTGATTCACAAGCTTTCTTGTACCCTTCTCTAACCCCAATCTATCTAAGAATTTGTCATCAACCATCCCAGAGAATCAACCTTTCAACCCCCAAGAAAAAAAAAAGTGCTGCCAGTTGAAAAATCCAGCCCACACTTCTCCTTAAAATCTAAGTATTAAGGAGAGGGCAATTGAAACCTTATAACTAGCACAGATGGGACAACTCCAGGCGATGTGGGACATATTGCAACACACCCTCCTGGACCACAACCTACACTAGCCGGACAAACGGCACACCAGTCACAGGCCTAACCAAACTCTGATACCAAATTGAAAAGCTCAGCTTATACTTCTCCTTAAAACTCAGGTATTAAGGAGAGGGAAACTGAAACCTTATAACTAGCACAGATGGGGCAACTCCAAGCGATGTGGGACACATTCGAACACTGCCTACTTACTCTCTCTCCCAAACACTAGTGTAAATGGGAAACTTATGCATTGGATATGACCTTCAACATTGGAGAACAGGTTTCATTTGTCGTTATATCGTTTATGAAAGATCATTAGTGTAAAATATGATGTGCACAAAACTTAGTACAAGGAACAAGTCAACATTGTAAACATAAACATTACTATCTTTGGGGCAAATTAATTTAGGTTTCAGGTAGATCTAACTACTAAATCTTAGGACAAGACAACACAGTGAAATATCTAAGTTTCCTTCTTCTGAACTACGGGTGAAATGAAACATAAGAGCCCACAAGGGCACTTGCAGCCATTTTACGACACCTTTAAAACAAGAAAGCATAATGGAATTATATTGTAGGGTATTTAAAGTGAACTAGGAATCTATTGCTCCTTCCATTCTAAAAATTGCCCATTTAGTGAGCATCCAACAGAAAGTGAGCCGAAACCATACCCCGACATTTCCATACCCAACTTTGACTCCTATATCCCAACATCTCTGGCATAGGTACTTAATGTGTTTTCTTTGTGCATTCATTTAACACAGCTATGAGAAAATGCACACATATCATAATAAAATAAAACTTCTACAAACAGAAGTATGTAAGACCAAGAAAGTCATGGACACTAAGCATCAAATTCCAACTAACCTGTTGATACGAAAGAGGGTGTATCACAGCACCACTTACTTCCAAGAAGTAGTCAGGAGTTATTAAGTGCAGATCTTGTGTTGGCATGAGTTGTAAAATGAGAGTGAGTGTGGCATGAGTTGTAAAGCAAGTGTGCATGTGGCATGAATTGTAAAGCAAGAGTGCATGTGGCATGAATTGTAAAGCAAGAGTGCATGTGGCATGAGTTGTAAAGAAAAGGGATTGTCTAGAATAAACTCTGTATGATAGTCTATATATATGGACTTGTATTTCATAGAAAAAAAATGAATAAGAGCTATACAGTTGTTCCATGTCTCTACATCTTGAACCTGAAAAGCATCAGCAGAACAGGTTAAACTTACACCACTACTGTATGAAAAGCAAAAAGGCACAAGATAGACAATACTCCTCAAAAGGACCTTGACAAAGAAGATTGATATCCACATCAAGAATGGAGTCAAGATTAGTGACACTGACACATAATACTGTAAATATTTTATTATGTCAGTCACTCATAAATGTTTTCTAGCACAAAATTATTTGTACTTCCAGCAACAAAAATTATATCTGTTATATGAGAGATTAATCGCAAAGAATGCTGTTACAACAAAAAATAATAGAACAATATATCAGTCATGACACTACCTGAGATCCCTAAAAAATTAAAGGGAGAAAAAAACAGATATTGAAGGGTGGAAACTCATGTCAAAATGAATAATATATACACAATATCAAAGCATCCCAATATTTTAATTGCCAAATCCTATCTTATGGAGAAATAAAAGTAACAAACAAACTGTGCACAAGGGTTAAGAAAAAATTCAGAATACCACTTAATTGCTCCAGTCAAAATTCATAAGATCTTACTTGATCCTTTCTTGTAAGTCAAATATTCCACTCAAGAGTCCAAGAGGGAGTGCATTCAAAGTCCTCAAATGAACCCAACTCAAAACCAAGAACTCTTCATAGAACACATGTGCCCAAAACAGTTCAATAAAGAAATCAGAAGAGAAACAATCACACAAGATCTAAATTAATCAGAAGAATGTAATATAGATAACAGAAATCAGTTACAATTATACCAACAAGTACAGCATTATGTGAAAAAGAAATTAATCAACAGGCTAATATGTTAGCTCCACAATGCAAAATCAAACAGCAGATTGAGATTCCATGAAAAGTTCCTTCAGATAGGTATGACTTTAAAGCATCCTTCACTCCTCAGGAACCAGTAAACACCCATCACAACTCCATTTGAAGTTTTCCGATCCAAAGGAATGCCTGTTACGATCTCTCTGGCCTTGTTACACTACTCAGAAAACCATTCAGTTTTCCACAGGCCAAATAAGTTTATCTGAAAATTAGTTAACTGACGAACAATGATAGTCCATTCAGTTAACAGATTCAAGACACAGACACAACTTGAGATATAAGTTGGATACAGCTCAACCTTAACTGTAAATTTCTACGAGATTTAAAAATAAAAATAATAACAAGCAGTGTCAAACTGAGATACGAACTGTAAATAGAGATTATTTTTTCCCAAATCATGAATCGTAAAGGTTCAATCATAATTTCTAAACTACAAAGATATATATATATATATATATACATAGAAAAATACATTTGACCTGAAGTTTGTTATGTTCTCTTCCCTTTTGTGACTTATGCATCCATGGCCTCCTTCGTTTTAGGACACACATTTTGTTCTTCAAAAAGCATTCAGCATCAACACCATTGCTTTGTTTTTCTCCAAACATTTGTTTAAAAAATGATTTCAAATATCTTCAGAAACTCGATTACATGGGGCAACATTATCATGGGTTCCCACCAAGTGATTCTTCATACAAATTACTCCACCACAATAGTCCTCCTCAAAATAGTTGCAATTGAAGTGCATTTTATTATTCTGAGCCACTAACACAGGTAATTCAAGCACCCAAATCACTATCACTTATTCAAACATTTCATTTGATGCCTCCAGAAAATTCATTTTTTTAAAGTAGAAACACATGGATAAATTCGGCTGAGTAAGCTAGGTATTGTAGAGAGAGAAGAATATTTTATGGAGAAAGTTTAGGGTTTGAGAGTGCCGAGAAATAAAATACGAAAGGAAGGAAAAGGATGCAGTAGAAGTAACCCTCAACACTCTTAAATGTCTGTAGAAAACTTTTTCATCCACCCCAAAAAAAAAAAAAAAAGACAATAGGGCTCCACACCAGTTTTCAGGTTGGGTCGACTACATGTGTATCACGCGATATGCTTGATTCAACAATTTCCCTTGTGATTCTTCGATCCCATTGCAATTCCGGCTTCCAGTTGACTCACCCCCATATATGGATCAATTGCTTGGTATATCAAATTGAACAGTGTGATACATATCATGTATTGTACAGTTCTGATAACAGATGTCAAATAATACAAGAGCAGGAGCTTTACAGAACAACTGAAGAACATACTGGCATCCAAATTTTTCCATGATGATCATTACCAACTATGTGGAGCACACTAAAGGATGGAATAATGTACATATAAGTCGATCAACATCTCTTTACTTTGGAACAACAGGCAGTTTCATTATCTACCACAACAACTTATGACATCTATAGAAACAATTATAGCACTCTGCCATAACGAAGTTAAACCATTAACAAATACTTTACATAACAAAAGGAAGACACAAAATGTGCAATAGTAAATCTCGCCACCAAGTCTACAGTCAATGGTGTGCCACCCCTTTCAATCAGTAATTTAATCTTCTGGTCCAAACTGTCATCAAGTAATGTTTCCATTTTCAGGAACTGAGTAATTACCTGCAATAAGAACTTCGATATATCAAAGACAAAACATTTGGGTCATACTTCAGCACTTCAACATGAAAATTATGAATTAAATTCCACAACCAGAAATCAGCATGAATTGGTTACTGGAAAGTTAAACCTGGTTACTTAAAACAACGGCTCTTTAATGAAATAAATGCAGAATAAAATAAGCTACAAAACCAAAAATTCACTTATTGGTAGGCCAAAAGTGAATATTCGCTAACAATTTTCATCGAAAAATAGCAACTACAGCTCCAAAAGAAGTTTCAAAACTGCACACCCCTAACCTACAAGCATTGTTTGAAGCTCCTACTTTCGAAGAGCTTTCATATAAAATACATAATAGGAAGTAAGCATTACACACAAATGAACAAGCACGTCACCGGGCTCCAAAAGATTGTGAGCTGGGCCACCTGGCACCTGAACAAGTCCAGAATGATAGCAGAAATTGGGGCTGTTTGTTGCAGCTTCTATAAGCTGATTATAACTTGTTTTAATTTGGGAATCCTTGCCAGATTGTTTGGTGTAACTTCTGCTTATAGCTTATTATCCAAAAATAACTTACATAAGTTGAAGAAAGCTGATTATTTAGAAGCTAGGGAAGGGGAGCTTTTAGCTTATGATTTCTGATTATCAACTTTTAGCTTAAAAAAAACTATACCAAACAGGGCCAATGAAGATGGGAAAATTTCTACTCAATCAATTATAACACAGTGAGGAAAGTATACTCACGACAGAATCAACAACAAGCATTCCAGTTTCTCCACTCAGAGAGGCATGGCGCACAATCTAATCCAGTCAACTCATTAAGGCATCAGCGTCTCAAATTATTATTTTGAGAAACCGTTGAAAGAAATAATGCAATTTTCACAAGAACCTAACTACGTGTTCTGTTTCACTTCGGAGACCAAGGCGACGTGTCTCATCAAATCCTCTGTGGACAAATGTCACCTATATAATGAATTAATAATGCCAAATCATACAAAAGTAAATCTTGAAGTGTACACATAAGCCAAACATAAAGAAACAAGCACAAGTGTGATCTTATTTGCAAGTGTTTTTTCGCTTTATGCAGATCTTGATCTTATTGTCACCAGCATGGTATCATTACTTTGTCACTCATGCATAAACAAGAGGCCACAGAAATGAATCTATCTCTAAATAATGAGATCCCTTTATTGACATTATTACCAAATCAAGCAAAAAGCCACCACTTCATAAATTTCATAAATCTTGGAGGACACATTAGTGTTTTCAAAGAAGTTTTGTTTTTTACTTTTCTTTGTCAAATGGAAACAAGATGCTGTCTGAGATAAGTTGAATAAATTATAATAAGAAATAATGAGCTTATCCTACTTTTTCAAATGAGCCCATTGAGACAATCCAGTTACAAATGAAAGCAAAATAATACACCTATTAAGGATGGAATTCGAAGGGAGAGAAAGCATAAATGCAAAATAAAATAAAGCAAAATAAAAACAAATACACACAGGCAATGAAGCCTTCATTTGTAACATCGAACTACATCCTTGATTAATGCAAAGGAAGACGATACATACAAAAAACTGATGCTACATTTGGAGACAAAAGTGAATATTTGAATTGGAACCGTTATGTGGGACCTGCCCAGAATGCCCATACATACCAAGACTTTGTTCACACAGAAAAGGCCAGTAGGAAAAGAAAAATGGAAATTTCTATTTTGATAATGTCTTTTCTTTTTTAATTGTATCGAATCCATTTTCTATTTTGGAATGAACACTGACCAACTATAAATGAAGCAAAATCTACGGAAGTATTGTATTTGAAAGAATAATGAGATGAATTATATAAATATCCAAACCGCTCTCAGTACCACATTTTTATAGACCAGACTCAGATACCATTATGAATAAAGCTACATAATGTATTGTCCGGCAGGAGTAAAAAAACAATTATGTTAAAAGGCAAAAGAAAGCAAAGTAGGAGAAACTTCTTAGATATTTACTTTTTTGGTACCATCAAGAACTTAATATTATTACAAGTGTTACTAAGGTTAATAGTTAGTGAAGACGGGTGGCCCCTTGCGGGACTTGAACTCAAGCATGAGCACGGTCAACTGGTGGTGCCTTGCTACCTGGGCAGATGGCATCCTCTCTAATATATTTACTTTAACAAAAAAGAACTTAGGAATTATTTTATACAGATGTAGAAATTAAAGCAGCACTCAAAAAGTACAAAAGTTTAAAGTGCAAGATTGAAGATTCTCAAAATTGAAAATCATTGAATTTATAGTTCCAGACAGAATCATGGGGAACAAACCATAATAAGTAAAAAATAAATAAGGAAAAAGAGTTAGCAAACTAAACGAGAGATTGGAAGCTTATAAGAATTAGACATTTTAGGCTGAAAACAACAGAAGAAAAATAAATGTTTTGCAAGCAAAAAAACGATTTATTAAATCATAAACTCAAGCCAAAAAAAAACAAGACAATTTCAGAAATCTGGCTATTGAACCACCAAAATATGCTATCCTGTTGAATGCAGTATAGACAAAAACAAAACAAATGGGAGCACTGAATCAAATTAAAACCTAGAAGGATAAGAATTAACAAACCTGAAGCGTACCACAAGGAATAGAAACCACCCTCCATTTATCTCTAAAAGAATCTCTAGCCTTCTGCAATAATTTTAATGCCCTTACAACCTGCAAATAGTATAATGACAAAATTAACTTAGAAACTACAACATTTAATTGTGATGGCATCAATCAACCAATTGGAAATTGAAGGCTTCAAATCTATAGAATATCAGTTGTAGATAGGGAGTTTCTAAATACACCCGCTTAATTTCTCTTAACACCCGCTACATACATTGTTAACCTTGTACCTTAAGGATTAAAACTTGTACAGGTGCCTGTAGAACAAAAAATTGATGGGTGCATTTAGAAGCTCCCTTGTAGATAATTCATCACATATTTAGACTGGCATCCCACAATGCCAACCCTCACATAGAAACTTAAAAAATACTGTACAACATCCACATCCACGCCACAAAATAAATAAATAAATAAAGGCTAACGAATGGGCTAATCCAACACATGGAAGTATAAAGGCTACTTTTTTCAGTTCAGATGGTTTGGTTAGGTAGACAAAGTGGTAGGTTTTGGCTTTCTGGAAGCTTAAACTTATAAGATTGAGCCTTCAAAGGCTTCTTATTGAAGGATACTACTCTACCAAAATCGATCTCAAAAGACAAGTGAAAACTGACAAATCTAGTACAAAAACATCAGTAGATGTAATAGGAAGACCAAACAAGAAGGCAAGGTCATTGAGTGTGCAGAGAAAATAAAGCAATAAAAAGAACGATAAAGGTAAACAAACTTCAAAACAGTATGAATGGAAAATGACCCAACAAAGGTAGCATGCAGGACTAGAAACAGAAACAAACTATAAAGAAGAAATGAACAAAAATTGTAAAATGTTAATAAAAAAAAACAGCATTTGATTTAGATATTCAAAAGATAGTAGATTAACCTTTACTGTAAGAGTTGATATTACAAGAAAAATAAAAAATAAAAACAGCGAGAATAATGTGCTGGAAATTTGTGTTAATGCATATAATAAGATAGTGGCATATGATAGTGGTGTTGGTGGTAGATAGTGGCATGTATAGAATATGATAGTGGTGTTGGTGATAGATAGTGGCATGTATATAATATGATAGTGGTAGATAGTGGTAATATATAATATGTAAGTGGCATATAATGGGTTATAATGATATTTGTAATATCTCCTATATAAGGAGTGTCATTTGGTCTTGTAAAATAAGAAGTTTTGAATATAATAGAAATATATTCCTTCTTTCTCATATTTTCGGAGTTCTTCTTCCTCATATTTTCTAAGTTAATGGTAAAGTTATCTCACTTCATTCTCCATGGTTTGAGCAGGCAACGACAGAAGGCTATTCTTCATTTTCGAATAAATAATGTGCACTACATTAAGTTCTAAGGTTGAAAAACATATTATCAGATTGGTTATTTGCATCAAGGTAAGTTCCGGTTATGATCATTCGACAGCTGTAAACTCCCTGTTTGAATCAGGTCAGGTGTTGGAAACAAGGTAACTGAATTCAGTTACATCTCCAATAGACCACAAGCAGTTAACCTCCGTCCTTGACAACAATGAAAGCATGACATAGAAGTCACAGAAAATAATTGCAAAGATACTTACTCTTTCTAAAGGTAAGAAAAATGCCGAAGCACTTGATGACTTGCCCCAGCATTCAACGCCACTGCCCTGCCTTGCCAATCAATTACTGGGGAACCACTTGAACCCCCTTTAGTCCCAGATGCTGCCTGTAAGTAGAAGGGGGAGGGGGGGCCGAGAGGAAGGGTAATTACAATTAAAACTTTTGGCTTGAGACAGAACCAACAAGTTTTTCATAAATTGCAAAGAAACAAACAACGGATGATCAAAAATTGAGTTAGCAGCAAAATGAGGGTTGACAAGAATGTCCCAACACTTAATGGGGCTCTTTCTTTTTCTTTTTCTGACACTTCATTAAGCGTTCAGATTTTCCATAAACGTCTATAGCCCTAGCTACAAAAGAAGGAATATTTGACACTCCTTAAATTCATAATGGTGTGAATATTTCGAAAGACAATATTCACAAAACAAATGTCCAAGTAAACAGGATTTGCTTTTTTTTCTTCTGTTTCTCCCTTCACCAACTAATCATCATATACAATCAAGAAGGCATTGCCCAAACACATGTCCAAGTAAAAATTATGCAACATCAAGCTAGTCAAACCAAACCTACAAACTTACCGACCAACACAAACATTCATCAGCAAAGGTGCTCAAACTAATTAGACCAACACGAATTATGATCAGCAAGTTGAATGATAATTAACACCAATCGCCAATCATAGCTATGCTAACTGACAAGGCCAACACAAATTTTGTAACTTGAATGATTAAAATAACTCCAACTTAGGAGTCCATTAAAAGCATCTAATGTCACAATGCTTACTTGCAGGTAGAATGTATGGAAGTCATTGTAGCCATCCCTGCAACATAAAAGGCCATTGTAAAAATGTAAGTAAATGGTGGCAAAGAGGTAGCACTTTGGCTTGTGCATATTAACAGAAGTCAGCGGCAGAAAAGCTTTTCTTCTTTCACTTTTTAAAAGAATTGGTATTAGTAGGAAAAACAAAACTCAACTCTAAATCTACTACCACATATTATGGAGGGCAAAGAAAATAAAATATTAGCAATCAACTGTAGAAAAGTCATTCCCCTTGTGACAATTGTTGTCTGTGGTATTTGTCTCAGTAATATAAAAGGCAAATTGAAAATGTCTAAGGAGACACTAAAGAGTTTCTAAGTTGAAAGGGTACATGTGAAAGACAATTGTCAGGATGCCCCACACACAGGCTTCACACTTGCATGTCATTCACATCTTAAATGCCATTAGATAATGATAGTCCATATAGGAACCACGCTGGCATACAACAAAATCAAGGACTGCATAATGAGTTGGAGCTCAGTCAAGGATGACTGCAGCCAAAACATGTGGAAGCAGTACACGATAATTATAACAGGAGTTCCACTTTCAAGATTACTCCACAAGAGAGTGGAAATCGACGTACAGTGGTTTCCTCTTTCCTTCTCTCTCTCTCGGCTCCTTCACAGCTTCTTTTTCTTCTCCATCTTCTCCTCTTCCCAACTCTCAGGTGTCTTCATTCTTCTTCACCAATACCTTGTTCTTGCATGATTGTTGGCTGGAAGGATCCTCAAAGGGTTTATTGTGATAATGTCTCTGCAACAGCAGCTACAGATCAGCCTATAGCTGCAGAAGAAGAGAAGTTGAGTTGTAGTTGAAGCCACAGAGCTGAGCTCCTTTCTGCAGCAGATTGATACAGCAGAAGCTATACAAATCTGTTACAGATCAGTTAGAGATAGTGGTGCATGTGTTACATATAGTGATGTGTTAGTTAGTTAGAAAGTTGTTATAACTGTACCTTAGGTTAGTTAACTAGTAACTATTAGATTAGTTAATTAGTAACTAGAGTTACATTTGTTGTATATAAAACTAACTGTATAGAAGCTATTTGGTGTAATGAAAATATTAGTTTCAGATTCTCTTTATGGTATCAGAGCCTTCTAGCTCTTGCAAGCATTAAAACCTTCATCTTCAATCTCTCAATGGTGAATCTTCATCAAGAATCAGCAATGGCAGCTTCTTCATCAGGTATATCTACCAGTGCTTCTTTACCTTCCAATCTCACTCTGCTCATCTCCAATCTCAATTCGTTTGTTCCAATCAAACTTGAGACTACAAATTATCTGATATGGAGAAGTCAATTCCAAAACATATTACGAGCCACAAATCTACTTGGATTTGTTGATGGATCAAAGAAATGTCCTTCTTCCACAATTCTGGATGAGAATCATAATGCTGTAGTCAATCCAGACTACACAGAATGGATTACTGTTGATGCACATTTACTTAGTTGTATTACTGCTACACTGTCTTCATCCATATACACATCTGTTCTGCATTGTCTCACTAGTCATGAAGTATGGACTACATTGGCTACAAGATTCACCTCCTTGTCTAGATCACATGTACATCAATTGAAAACTAAGCTCAATCATCTTACCAAGAAGAATTCAACAATGGAGGACTATCTCTGTCAAATCAAAACTATTGCTGATCACTTAAGTCTTGCTGGCTCACCAATTCATGATGAAGATCTGGTTTTACTTACTCTAAATGGACTACCTGATGAGTACAATGCTTTTAAAACATCCATTCGTACCAGATCTGAACCTATCTCCATTACTGCCTTATCTTCCTTATTATGTTCTGAATCCATTCATATTGAAGGCTTTCTTAAACAAGCTCACACATCAGATCTTCCATTTGCTTACACTGCTACCAGACCTAATTCTAGAGGAAGTGCTCGAGGTTACAACAGAGGTGGATACAAAGGTAATAATTCAGGAACTTCAGGCAGCAGATTTTTTAAACATATGAACAGAGATGAAGGACAAGGTAACATCTATAGAGGTGGAGGACATAGCAATGGAGTACAAGGCAGATCATCTTCATTTTTGCAGCATTCACAACTGATTTGTCAAATATGTGGCAAATCATACTCATAAAACTATGCAACTAGAACAAATAGTAGACCATTTATTTGATCATCAATAACATAATTTTCTTATCATGCAGAAAACAAATTTGAAGCAAAAAGCATGAGCAAGATATTTATTTATTTAAATTCTAATCATGATCTTCATATATGTAACAGTAGCCTCCAAGTAAATGTCTATTGGCATGCGAATTATACTGAAGATAAAAGCATTAAACTAAAAAAATTAAAACAGTGTATAAGTCACCCGGAAAAAATAGCATGAAACTGTTTTCCCAACTATTCACTAGCATAAACAAAATCAGTAACATGCAATATATTATTCTATCAAATAACATTAGCACCAAATTCATGAAATCATGGGAATGCAACAGTGGACTACTAGCAGGAATTTTTTATTTATTTTTTAATTCCTATTTACCGTAACAAACGTAGTACATCTTGGGAACAAAATCTACATGAATTTATATATGAATCTATTGTACTAATTTCATAGAAATATGTAATTTGTTTTAAGATTATTGTATAAATTGTGTGATTAACTAAAACAAAATAGATTCATAATTAATAATTCTAGTTACAGAATAAGAACTCATGTTGAAGATTATATTAAAATGAACATAAATGCAAAGCAAAATGAAACAAGAAAGAAAATCAAACCGAAACTTGCATTAGATAGTTTCCTTAAAATAGATTCGCCACCTCGCCAATTACGGTGCTGGAGGTTATTCGACGTCTGTCTCCCAGAATACGACGATTGGACTAGCTACAGCAAGGCACCCACTAAGTAGCTTCGGCGAACGAAACTTAGGCAGCACTTTCTCATAATAGGAAGAATAAAAAACTGATATTTTGGAAGAACACAAAGATAGA